GGCAGCCCCTCCGCCCGCCAACACGCTACGGTCGCCAAGTCCACCCTCCCTGAACAGACACAATGGTCGCACGCTGCACACTGCATCCCCATGGCCCCCTCCCCTCCATCAGAGTATCTGGCTACACCCATCAATCTATTGTGTATACCAGCACCCCATCCATTATCACCATTCCGGCTCCTCCTTGACCCGCACCAAAGGCGCCACTTCCCGCTTGACCAGCCGATCGAAAAAGTACCGCTCGCACCGCCCCGCTCCGCCGCTTGAGGGGTCGCTGCTCTCGCGAACATCCTCTGTCGTCCGGCAGGAGGACATGCCGATGCGGTAGACGCGCTCGTGGTGCTGGAAGGGCCGCTCGGCGAAGTCGGCCGCCCGCGCCTGCTGCGCCTCCTCTGCACCAGACGCACTGTCGCGCTGAGGGCGATGAGTATCGTTTACCTGTGCAGCCAACAAAGGCAACGGACAAGAGCAACAAAGGCATGAGCGCTTCCTTGGCGGCGCTGGCCCCTCCCCCACCCACCCACTGACCATTTCGTCACCGAGCATCCATTTCGGCAGGGGCTGGTCGTCATCGTACTCGGCAAATGGCGGCATCTGGGACAGCGGGATGCTGCTCGTGTCCTCGAAGACCGCGCCGACGACATTCTCGGCCGCTGCACTCTCCGAGGGCGGTGAGGGGCACAGAGGCGGCGGATGGGCGCCCTCGGTGTAGGCGAAACCACAACTGAGCGGGAGAGAGAGCGGCTCCCGGGGAGCAGCGCCAGCACCACTGCCGCCGCCTGCGGCCTCCTCCTGTTTCTTCATCCATGCCGGACTCGGCCGCAAGATGACCCCGCTGCCGCGGCGGCGAGCATCAACAATCCACGGCGAGGACATCAACCGAGCCACCAAGGGGATGGCTATTGGGGGATGGAACGGACATCAATATCAATCACCAGCTTACACCAAAGGGCAGCCGCAACGTCATACGGCGTCTGGAGCTGTCCGAGGCGAGAGAAATCACCCTGCCTGCCAGCCAGCAACCCTGAAACCGAAACCCTGAAATCCGAAAGGATCCCTCATCCAGTAGTCGAGCGCTCCTTGCTCAATCACATGAATGACGAGATTGAGACCCACACGCATCGAAGCAGTCGGGCATCGGGCCCTTTCAAGGACATCAGCTTACATCAGCTGATGTAAGCTGATGATGTCGCGATGCGTTCATTCCATGCGGTTTCATCGTGTGTCCATGCAGGCAGATGAAGCGTGAGGCCGTCCATAGCCATTCCCATCGCCCTCACCACTCACCACCATACCCACCACACGACCAGCAGCACGACCCGCGCTCATCCTTCAGCGGCAAGCGCCCTCGGCAGTTGGCCGACTCCGAAGACGGAGATGGCTATGGTGGCGGCAGGCGGCGTATGGGCGATGGGGGAGCCTCAGGGCCGGTAGCCAAGAAGCTCCTTTCGCGGGCTGGAGGTGAGCAGGACCACGCACACAGGAGAGGTTGAAGGCTTCATGAATCTATGTATCATGACTGCACACGTCTGCCTGCAGCGCTCGGGGCCGACTCGTCGCCATCCTATCGGGACGGCCCGTCGCCCTGGTACCGCCCCATGTCGCTGGAGCCGGCCGAGAGAGAGGACAGGGGACGTCATCGGTCGCCCAGGCCTTACCCTGGACGCGTCGCGTCGACTCCCTGGCCCTATCATGGGAGGGACGCCCGAGAGCGACGGGGGGCGGCCGACGACCGTGATCGTGACCTGAGGGACTTGATCGCAGGCAAGATGTTCCCCGAGCGCGACAGCCGAGGGCACAGGAACGGCGTGCACAACGGCGTGCACACGGCCAGCAACGGTGCGGGTCCGGTGTCGCCCTCACACTCTCAGCACCTTCACACCGACGGCGGTCGCGGCCCTCTTCGATTCTCCGGCAGCACCATCGGCAGCGGCTCCAGGGCGGCGTCGGGTCCGGGTGGTGGCCGCGGCAGAGCTCGTTGGGTCCCTCCGTGGGTCAAGAACGAGGAGGTCCAGCAGCGGGAGGTTGGGGGCAGTAGTGGGCGGGGCGCCATGGCGTATCGCGGTCACAGTAGCAAAGGCGGCACTAGTGAGAGGGGGAGAGAGAGAGGGGGGGAGGGGGAGGGTGCTTCTGAGGAGGGCAAGGGGACCAACCTCTTTTTGCGCAAGACGACAATGTGCCGGCACTGGCTCAAGGGCATGTGCGCACTTGGCAGCAACTGCGAATTCGCACATAGCAAGGTCAGAAGAGCCGATGGGGGGTGGACGGATAATCGTTTCTCTGCATGTCTGGTGTGTCTGTCTGGCTGGTGTGTGTGTGTGTGTTGCAGGAGGAGCTGCGCAAGAAGCCCGACTGGTTCAAGACGAAGCGGTGCAAATACTTCAGGAGAGGACAGTGCCGCGACCCCAAGTACGCACTCTACCAATAGATACACAACCACACCCACGCACCCACACGACCGCTGCTGAACTAACTGCTCTCTCCTTCTCTCTCTCCCTGTCAGTTGTGGTTTCGCGCACTACTACGACGAGAGGCGGCCCCTGGTAGCCGCGCCACCGCAGTTTGACATCGAGAACGAGATGAAGGCCGCCAAGGAACGAGAACAGAAGCGGCTTAAGGTACCAATTCCCCCCCCCCCCCCC